TTTTTATTTATTTTTAATCGCTGAATTTAATTAATTCTTGATTCCCTTTTGTCCGTCCCTGTGGAGACGATACTCGTACTTACACCACTATGTTACAATATATTTTAAGTGCGAGAAAACACACATCAGTTTTTGGCGTCGTTGCCGGGGACGGTGTCAGTTTTAAGGGTTAATTAATTTCAGCGAGATTTGTTTTTGTAGTTAGTTTTCTTTTTGTTCTTCGTTGAATTTTTTCTGTGCTAACCTTTCAGGTATTTTTCTAAGAGGCATGAGATGAACCTATTCAGCAAAATTCCTGGAGGAATTCCTTACCCTCAAACCTCCATGGAATATTCACCATATACGCCATACCCTCCCTCCTTACACTCCTCCTCCTCCTCAATATTACACATCTCATCAAAATTATTCTCTTACACCACAAAATTTCCCATCTTCCTATTCTTACCCTCTTCCAAATACGCAATACTCTCAATCTCATTCTCCTAATCAGTATCCTTATCCACAATATCCTCGTACAAAACCAGGCTCCATTATGGAATTCCTCATTCGAACTAAAAGTCCCGAGGAATTGGTTGATTGCTTTCCTAAAAATAGCATTTGTAACTTCTGTGGAGGTGGTCACCATTCATGTCTTTGCCCCATTCCTCCATACGACCATCCTTACTGGGCAACTGCATACCCCATTTCTTCCTCCCCACAATTTACGGACACAAATGTTTCAGTCACTCCTACATACTTCCCGAGTAATGAGCCTCATAATCAACAAGAGGATCTGGAGGAGGCAGATTTAAAGAGACTTTCTAGCTTGGAAGAATCACTCAAACAATTAGCACAAAATCAACTGAGAGCAGACTCAAGGATGCAAATGATTGAGACAAGGATGCAGAACATGGAGAATCAATTGGGGCAGATTGCAAAGGCTTTATCTGAGGAGTCCGAGAGATCCCATCCTAGCGACACAAAAGCTTAACCTGAGGAGACCAATAGGGATGATCATGTGAGTGAGTCGGACTGTGAAGGTGGAAATATGATGGATGATACCCTCCTAGATGCTTTTGAAGACCCTGATGAGAAAGGTGTTAACGAGAGTTGGGATGCCTTCATGGGGAGTGATACAGAGTCTGGAGGAGAGGTTGTGAATTTTCATGATATTTGTGAGGAAGAAGAAGACTTTTCTATGGTGCAGTTTGATTACGGTGTTGCTCCTACTCCTTGCTTGGAGACATGTTTTGAGCTTCCAGTGACACCTAGAGTAATCAAAGTTTTCACTCATGTTCTCTGTCCGCCCGAAGAGGATGAGAGTTTCATACTTCACTTCTGTGCTGATGAGGGTTATGAAGACCATGTGCTACCTACGTTTACTAGAGAATTTAAGGATCCGCGCCACTTAATGGCATTTGTTGAAAGGAAGCTGGAAACGTTGATTGTTAGTGCACCACTACAGTCTTTGCAATTTGAGAGCTTATGAGGTATCGTCGAGCACACGGCGTTAAAAATAGCGCTTCTCGGGAGGCAACCCGAGCTTATTTCTGCTTTTGATTTTGCTTTTGCTTTGTTTGTTGTTTGGTTGTTTTGCTTTGTGTTTTTGTTGCAGCTCAGGGTCTTGTTGTATGGATGATGTGTCGGGGATTACATTGACTCAGTTTAGTTCTGCATCGACCAACACCTTAGGGAAGTTTCTTTGACTCTTTTACTCGCTTGTTGAAATATTGACTTGAGTTAAGTTGAGCATGTGTGACCCTATCCTCTTTACCCCCTAGTACATAATGCATATTTGGTCATCGAGGACGGTGCCAAAGTTTAAGTGTGGGGGAGTGAATTGGGCATTCGGGCAGTGGTTGTTACATGAGATTTATTAGAGTTAGCATGCGCATGTGTTAGTTGTATATTCATAGAAAATTCATGTCAAAATTTTTGAAAATTTTTCTTTAAACTGTGTCTTTGTGAACTGGCTAGCGTTTTGACTATGCTTTTAGAATGTCCTTGAAGTGTTTAGGCTTAAATTGTTTACATGATAACCTAGTTGTTGAAAGGATGAAGGCATTAGTCACCCATTTAATGAATTAACAAATGTTCCATTTGACCTGAACAAGTTCCTTTAAGAGAAGCCACTTTGAGCCTGACCGTTTATCGTTACCCGATTAACTGAGCTCCATAGCCAAATGGCCTGTGTTTCCTTACCCGTGAATATTTCTGACTTAGTCTTGATGTTTAGGGAACTAGGGGATTAATTTGTTAAATTTAGGAAATTTTGTGTAGGAGCCATTTTTGGCACTGTTCCTATGCCCCAAATAGGGTAAGAGCAGTCACTTTTTAGGAATTTGATATTTTCGAGGATTGCATTGTAGGCATGGATTCACTTTTAAATTAATGAACCTAAATTGCTATTTTTCCTTGGTGAGGCCGAGATTAGAATGGGGTAATGTCTAGTGAGAATCTGAAAGGTGAAAAATTAATACAGCTAGACCTCTTGCTTGCGAAAAAGGGAATGGGAGCCCCGGTCAAAAAGCGTAAGATGAGACTTGGGTATCTTTCGAAAGAAACGGCGTTCTCGTGCCAACATGACAAGGAAAATTAAACCTTATTAAATGAACATGGAGGCTATTGCAAAATTAGCTTTAGTCCAGACGTACTTCAAGTATACGTCAAAGCACAAATGTGCCGCGGCGGTTTAGCTTAGTTGTACACCATGTCTACTCTTTGCATAGGTTTAAATGATAGTTCCTAATTTGTGGCCTAGTGAGTTCCTTTAATCCTAAGAATATCCCTGAAATTCCTGAATACATTGAGTCTTTGTTAGAATGTTCCAAACTCTCAAGAAAGGAACTGGTTTTCCTTACCACTATCTTCACAAGTCCTTCTGATCAATAGCTAGTTTATTTGTGTATGCTGTCATTACTTTGAAGATGTTGTGAATAATTTTGTCAAATAGTTTAGCTTGAGTACAAAGGTGTAGTTTAGGGTTGAATTTTCTTGGTTTAGACTGTCTGTTCTGTGAGTATCCCCGTAACTACGTATGCATGCTAATTGTTTTGATTCTGTGTGGTGATTATCGTAAGTCCCGTTATTCAGTTTGCTTGAGGACAAGCAAAGGCTTAAGTGTGGGGGAATCTGATAAGTCCGTATTTAGACACGCATTTGATGCGTATTGGGATCGGCTTTTGATGGTTTTCCTAGCTTTAAGGTGTTGGAAGTATCAATTTTAGCTCAAGTTATGTTTACCAGGCGTTGGTTCGAGTTTTGTGTCATTTGGAGTCAAAATCAGGATTTTAGAGTTCGGCCCTGGCGCTTGAGAAGAAATCGGGATGAGTTGAGAAGCATTCGAGAGTGATTTGAGAGATTTGGAGGTCACCGGGAGGTTCACGATGAAGATTTGAAGGAAAAAAGAGCTCTAGGATTGGCTACATGGTTAAAAGAAGACGAAGATAGCTTGAAAACGGCGATCAGGATGACCTTCTGTCAATCGTTCAAGCATATCTCTTTGTAGAAACATCCGAAGAACACGATTCAAGTTCCATATGAAAGATAACTTCAAGGGCTACAAATCATATGAAAACACCTTTGCGAGCATCTGATAGGAAGAAGGTGAAAAAAGACGATGAAGTCAGATGATCTCTGCTGCGATTTCAGAATAACACCTTCCACCGTTTTGATCATATCTCTTGATTGATAGATTCAAATCATATTTGGCAAGTTGGGGTGGATACTGGTTAAAGTGAGCTGAGGGAAAAGATAAAAATTGGAACTTGGAAATAATGATGGAAGACTAAGATTTTCGTGTTTTGCTTATTTAGTCATTTTCTTGAAACCAAAAAGCTTTTGTGTTTGGGGGTGTTTGGATCTGAAGCAGAAGTTAGAGTGCTGGGATGACAGTGCAGAAGTGATTCTGAAAAAACTGAAAAATTGGGGTAAACCCACCTTAAAGTTGATTATTTTATTATTAAAGATAAAGAACGAAGTAAATTTAAAAATAATCAGAGGTTTTGAGTTGCTTGCATTATTACTCCTTTGTCCCAAGTTCCAACTAGTTGTATCATCTTTCATTTTAAGTCATCCCAATTCCCAAAGTTGTTAGTCTTGTGTATCAAAATTTAAACACAGTTTGAGCCTAATAGGCATTCTTATTTTTGACAAACTTAATACCAGTAACACAATTTCATCTTAAAATTGGTGCAAAACTATGTGTTCAAAACTCAATGGGCAATAGTCGATTAATCGGTAGTGATGGACCGGGCCCGGGTCGGGCCTAGGCCCGGCGGGCTTTTGGGGTTTGGGGTTGGGCCCGGAACCGGGAACCGGCCCGAGTATCCACCGGGTCCGGTTCGGGCCGGGCTCGGGCCTGTTTATAATTTTTTTTTGCTTTCCTAACTACCCCCACCCCCCAAACCCCCCCAAAACACCCTGGTGACCCAGCCCAACCCGGGGGAAAGCAAAAAGAATTGAAAAAACCAAAAAAAAAAATATTTAGGCCCGAACCAGACCCGAGCCCGGCCCGGCCGGTTTGCATTTCTCTTAGCCCGTACCCGCCCCGGTTACCCCCACAAACCGGTCTAGACCCGGAACCGGTACCCGGTTCCCGGGCCGGGCCTACACAGTACCGGGCCGGGCCGGGTGGCCCGCACCGAGTCCTAGCCTATTAATCGGTACTCAGTAGAGGTAATACTTTTGACACGGTTGATCATCCTTGTACCAAAAGGTAAAATCGCTCAGACCCAACGCCCCCATACCTCGGCCCAACAGTGTAGGTGGGGGGGATGGTTGATCATCCACAACAGACCGCTGGTAGAAGTGTCCAGGATGGAATGAAGAGCAAAGAAGAAAGTGATACCATAAGTGTGGTGGCAACCAACACAGAAGAAGATGACAGTGCAGCACTAGCAGCAGCTTATTATGATGATCTTGTAACAAAGCTTTGGACTAACCGCAGGGAAATATTGAATGTGGCTCTCGGTTTGGCCGTAATTAGTATTGGCATGTATGTTATAACCGGGAAACATAACTGAAGAAGATTCAACAATATATTTACAGATAAATTGTAAATAAATAAATTTACCAGTTACATTCTGCAATGTGATTCAATTTATGTCTACAATGGAATAAAGAGTATGAGTTATAAAAAAAAATGGTTCATGGGAAGGCTAATTTCCGCTGAATCTATACCGCTTTTGATTGGGTTCCCAACTAGCCAGTTCCTAGTCCCGCCCCTTACCCATAGATGTGAAATGTACATAAGAGACCTGGTGTTTGAAACTATCAACAATTTAAGTTCAAATAAGTTGCAAATAATCGATGGTAACTGTAAGTGAAATGATTAGCAAAACATAGGTCACACATAGTTAACATACTCCGTACAATATTGTCACTGTAAATGTGATCCATGATTCCAAAATGTTATCATCTATCTTGGGGATCCATGGTGTGTGGGCCGCCAAATGTCGGCCTCATGTAAGCATCATCGAATTTCCTCCAATACGAATGGATAGTGTAGATCGGTCTCTCGATGAGCATAGACAAACTATCCTTTGCACGGAGAATGTTGGTTGTTGCTGATTCTTCAAATGAAAGTAATGGAAGCCTCATATCTTCCTTTGAGATGCTTGGTTCTCGGTCAATGCCGCTGCTATCATGATGAGGGAGCAGATAATGTACAAGCGGTTTTGTCAAAAAACCAAATACCTGCAATTGCATAAGGGCCGCTTCTAAATGTTCGCTTTGTCCCATAAGTATCTGGATGTATGGATAAAAATATGACTACACTCACTATTATTATAACATCATGTTCATTGCTGTGTGAAATTGATCCATCATGATCACTACAATTACTATAATAGTCAACTTTTAAAAGTTTCTCCCTCATCCTCGGGTTAAAATTCTCACTTTCATTTTTTGGATGTCCTAACTAAAGGTTCTCATTTCTATTTTAGGAAATAATTAACACTCTTAAACGTCAACTTAATCTTAAAATATTGAAAATAATACACCTATAACATCACAAGTATAATCAATGACTCCATTATATTATACTTCGTCCCTCAAAACTTTGCCAAGTTTGACTGACACGGTTAATAATAAAGTAAAAACTGTGTGATTGAGATTTGTGCAAAAGAGATACAAATAACAGAAACCACAAATTCATTGATTAAAAGGGAAAATGACAATAAAAAATTGTACATCCAAAAAAGGAAAGATGGCAAAGTGTAAGGAACAGAGGTAGTACACTTTATCCAATATCCTTACTTTAGTCATATATTAGTCATTATTTTATTTTAGTCATATATTAGTCATTATTTCTCATCATTAACTATTTCAATTTTATAGCTAGATATGTACACATAAAGGTCGGGTGCTTACTATTGTGCTGAATAGCACTACGATGATGGTTGTTGTGACCATAGTTGCATTGGTGGGATCAAGTGTGATGCCGGAGTGAGTAAACTAAATCATCAAGAAAATGGTTATTGGATTGCATAATTGCATATAAAAACACACTCTAATATATATAAATTTTGATTCAAATAAAAGAGGTCATATCCATGAAACATGGGAGTGCATTGAAGTCATTTACATTAATGCACTGGATTGAGTAGATGTTATTAAAATCCATGAACATTAAATTATCAGTTGGCAACAATCTAATGGTGGTCAACTAAATGCTCATGAATGTAGTGTACAAAACTCCTAGTAATATGAATAATGAGATGTCATGTCATCAAAAGTTTTATGATTTTATCAAAATAAATTGTAGCTGGTTTAAGTCAACGCACTCGATGGATTATGATTTTTCATATAACTATGTATCTTCACTTGAACTGAACCCTATAGACACACATATAGGGCCTGTTATGCATGAGAAATGTGAAAAGTGGACCTTTTGTTCACCATGGTGCACTTTATTTATCCAGTAGTGCAATTTTTATGACTGTAGAAAAGTTTGATTTATTTCCAGATATGCCACTGCATTTTTATCATTACTACTACACTGTTGTTTTTTAAACCCTTAGATCTTAAATCTGATTTTCATTCATGCTTATCACGTTAGATCATCTTACTTAAACCCAAAAAATATGTGTGTGTGCATCAGACGATCCTGATAGTTCTGTCATAATAATGATTCCTCTTTTGACGAACACTCTAATTGTTTTCCTTTACTACAACCACAGTTGTGAAACACAAAGCCATGCATACCTGCTTGAATGCCAAGGCGATAGATACAGCTCCCCTCATCAGCCCGGCCCAACAAATTACTACCTAGTTGATCAGAGGAAAATAAGCAATGACATTAGGTGAGAAGCAAAATGTATTCCCATCATATATACTCCATGTATGACAAGGTCATGTTATTGAGAAGTTGCAAAATGTAAACCTGATGCTTCATTGTTATTGATGATGACCTTGTTCTGTTCCGGTTCATGCAGTTGGAAAGAGCTGAGAGGGGGAATACAAAAGCTGCACGCGCTACTAGTATCAGTAGGAGGACAGCGCCGGATACACCCATTGTCTTCCAAACACTAGAAAACGGGGACCATGGAACAAATAAAGAACTAATACAGGTGCATCATATATATATGTACATGTATATTCTATGTATATTCTGTGTATTATGGAATATAAAGTGATTTGACCCCTCAATAAATATCGCTTATTTAGATGGACTAGAAAATGAAAATTTCAATAGCATAATGTTTTTTACATTTAATATATGCATGGGTGCTTAGGTGGAAGGGCAGCTCGACTGAGCCAGCCCCTATGCAGATCTGCCCATGATGAGGGGATGACTCACCTCAATTTGCTGATTTTCCACTTTTCAATGTCCAGAGCATCCATTCCAACATACAAAAAAATGAATGTTTCTGCAATGAAAGACAGAGTCGCAAATACATGCCTGCATTAACAAATTCAAAGACAAGCTCTCAATATATCAACTATCCTTCCAAAAATTAGAAGTGTTCTCTTTGCATGTAAATCTGCTTGATAACACAAAACATAAGTGATTCTGATACAGTTCAAGAAATAATCAGAATGGAACCCTTAGACTAGTAAACATGGCATGATGGGAAGCATACTAAATGTAAGAAGGACCTGGTCAGACATGCCTGGTGGTAATTCTCGAACCTTCAGTAACATTGTGCCATGTATAGTGAGACATAAGAACTCCACAAAAGAACACAGTCAAAATCCCGCTGAGGCTGAACAGCTACAAAAATTAAATATGGCAATATGAAGGTACAGAAACACAAACTCTTCAAAGAATATTGGTATGCTCTTTACCTCAGCCAACATGTAGGATAGATATGCCATTAAAACCATGAGAGCTATTTCGCGAACGGTGGAATGTCTGTATGACAAATGTGTAAGAATAGTCAATACTCAATAGAATTGATTCACTGGGGTTTACTTATATACATAATACACATGAGTAAGAAAACTGTAGATTACGGGGTTGGGATTAATTCAAACAATTACAATATGTAAAATAATATTAAACAAATATTATATTGTATACCAGACCCCTTAGTTGTCCAGTAAGGCTCTGCTGCCTTCCTTTTATTCTTAATAAACCAAGCATACAAGTAAAATGCAGTTATCAAGACAAAAATAAACTAAATCTACCTCCCAAAGTAAAAAACCTTCAGAATGTATGACGTCAACAGTCCAACCTGGAATAAACATGACAACACTAAGATATTATGACCAGAATATTTGTCGTTTTAGCCCATATTTTATGTCCCAAAATTTTATTTCTTTTAGGGCTCAATGCATATTTTATATAAATCTCCCAACATTTCCTTTGTTGACTTTTCCATATTAAATGCTGTTTTCTTTGAAAATGTATAATAAAGATTTGATGCTATATGTGTGCACTATTTTAAAATGAGAATTAATTTGGGACGGAAGGAGTACAACATTTAGTGATTTTTTACGGGAGCATTTATTATTGAATGTCATTATGGAAATTTATATACAAGCACAAACACTTGTGCTTAGTTGAATACTGAAGGGCTAGTAACAACTAACAAGTAGCTAGTTAGTAACAACTAACAAGTAGCTAGTATGATCTTACACCAACACCAAGTGCAGTGCTTGTGGAGAAAAGGTACAAAAAGTCGAGAAGGACTCTGGCCAAAGCCCGCCCTCCAAGTGTACTTCCATCAATCTTCTGCACTGCATTGAAGAGGACAACTGATGTGGCATCATTGACTACTCCCTCCCCAAACACAAGGCTGTACAGCAGGGGCGTCTCTTCTTGATGCAATACCTACATACACACAAACTTTCAGGATCACATGATCTTCTTATTACTACTCCCTCCTTTCCATATTACTTGTGCTACGTGGATTATGACATTTGACTGAGAATAAAGTTAATTCTCCATTATTAGTACATTTTTAAAAACCTCCCTACAAGTTATATTGAACTACAAAAAACATGGAAAAAATTGGTAAATAAAATGGGAAATCAAAAGATAAACGGTTGGACTATATTAGTAACTGAGAAACTAATTTGGAACAGGGAGAGTTTTATTTAACCAGACAAGCATACGACTGGTCTCATACACTAATTAACTTATTACCTGCAATGTACAAACTGTGTCTGTTGACGAAAATATGGTACCAATAGCTTAAACCAAAAGAATAACATAAGGAAAGTCAGCCCAGCTAGATGCTGCTACAAAATGTATATCAAAAAACAAATGTATTTCTAAAAGCAAAGGCCAGACCAAGGTAGTCTCGAACAGTCAGATCACTAATACTGAGCTTTGGAAACAGAAACCGGCTGCCTATAAAAAAAATATAAAACAATCAATCAAGAAGCAGAATATACAAGTATATGCAAGAGAGCAACATCTACTAGCCCTTTTGATAACCATACCAGAATAGGAAAAAAACATTTCTGGTGCAGTGAGTATTACGCTGTTCTCATTTTTGTTATTCATAACTTTCATTATTTCCACTTTTTTGGTGGATGACTATGATTTTTCACCACTTTTGATCCTTTCCAGCCACTTATCCAGCAAAGAATGAACTCAGAATTGTATGAAAATTGACCGGATGAGGGGTCAGAAACCATCAGTGACAGAAAAGATATAGTCGTGGGATCCAAAATGAAAATGGACCAAAAGTGGAATACTCCAATCAAAATAATACCTGCAGTAATGATGCAAGTTGATATGAAAACCCCAACAACTCCAAACAGCATTATAGTTAGGAAATTCTGGAAGAATTGTTTCTTCTTGACCTGGAATCTGGTCACAGAAAGACAATAATAAACTTATATTGTTCACCCACCAAATGCAACAAGACATGATGAATCACTCTTTCTTAGGATTAGTAAGTAAAAGCATTGTTATTACCCCGCATTGAATATTATTGGTGGAAGAAGATATATGAAGAACAGTTCTTCACTAAATCTCAGTATGTGAGAATTTTTCCCCTTGCTAATCAACAAAATCACTGTCCCCGCCACACACCCCTATATGAAGGCAACAATAAAAACAGGCAAGGAAAAAAAGTTCAATACAGTTCAATATAACACAACACAGGTTAAGTTCTTCAACCAATGAAAATAATGTAGAACAAAACGATGGCCTATATCAAGCATGAGAGGCCAAACAACGAATTTGAGTTGAGTCAAACTATCCTTGAACGGATTTCCCCAGCCAAGAGAGGCCAAACAAATAAACAAACCACAATCCGGCTACATTCTGATACCATATTTCATCATCATTTTCATTTACCCCAGTGCCGCAAAGGCGGGTAAGGGGGTCGGATGTACGCAGCCCCTGTACTAAAGGGGGAGACTGTTTCTGGATGAAACATAGTGAAAATAAAATTGTATGGACTGACTACTGCTTCATGACAAAGAAGCGTAGACAGTTTAGTGAGCCATTTTGCTTTATTCTGTCATATTCTCGAGCCAAAAAATAAGGAATCTTTGGCTCCATTGCAAATGATGGAAAGTCTGATACCATATTTATGATATAAAATTAGGAGTATAACTCATCTAAACAGGAGTAGGTTATCAAGATAGCTCACGCTCATAAATTGAACTCAAAACTGGTAAATTGGAGCGCTTGCTATGTTTTGGGGTGGGGTTTGGAAGGGATGTTTTTGGAGGGTTAACCCATATCTTGATAAACATAATTCTTTAAGAAAGCAATAAAATGTGATTGAATTGTTATATGATCACATATTATGCTAAGACCCCTTCAATGTTCATACAATAGACAATATATACTAAGAGCCCCTCAACCCCTCTAAAACCTCAACCCAAGCAGCCCATATATAAAGTATGGATCACATATAAGGGGTAGTGAGTGAGAAAGTACGATGAAGATGGCGGTAATGGACTCGTTGACCCATCGATTTTCTTCAAGCAAATGGCCGACCACCAAACAGAAGCAGAGGACGGCAACGAAGACGGTGATGGGCACCACATGCTCGTGGCTGCTGCTAGTTCCAAGGCTCTGGACCAAATCCAGGAAGGCGAGCATTGTCCTCCGACCAAATTAACGTTGTTGAAGGTCGAGCGTATATACCCCTTTGAACAGAAAGGGGAAACACTGGGTGGGCTGAAGATGGTAATGTGCAGAATGCAGATGATCCTTGCAGCATGGCAAACGAGACTCTGTCTAGCTGGCCGGCTTTTCCGGGAAAACGCCAACTGAAATGCTGAGTGTGTGAGAGATGCCGCTGACGCGTGGCAGCGTTGCGCAACATTTTCAGAACGTGTCGCTGGGAGGTGAATCAGCTGGTTCTATCTAGTCCTCCGGGTGATTCTTTGTCCCCGTCTGCCGGAACTATTTGGTTGTGAATTACGTAGTATTTTTTTTTTTAAAAAGGTTTATTTCTCTGAATTACGAAAAAAAATTACAGGGAGTATTTGAAATATATTTTATTAGTTACTTAAAAGAAAGTTATATGATTAAATAGCATAAGTGGTAAAACAATGATCTACGTTCGAGGATCGACTCTTTCTCTCTCTAGGGTGGTTTCCATCGTTAGGGTTTTTTCTCCGCTATCGTTTGTAATGAGAAGCGGTCGCCGTAGGCGGGCTTAGGCGTACAGGGTTTCTTCTTCCGCCATCAATTGTGCGGCTTTTTTCCTTCTTTTGCTTGTCGAGATTAAACGGAGGGAAGATGATGTTTAGTCTCTGGCGGTCGAAGGTTGTGTAGGGACGGAAGTTGGATGATTGGCCTCCGGCGGCCACAGGTCATGGACGAAACGTGGCGCTACGAGGCTGAAACAGAGCTGGATACGAGGTCATCTGTGTTAGGTGGCAACATAAGAGCCTTGGTAGAGAACGAGATGAATAAGAAGCAAGGTGAGGAAGAAGTTACAGTACTGCTGGAGCGTCCTCCTCCTGAACCGCCGCCATGGAGTGTAGAAGAGTATATGGTTTGGAAGCATCTTTTAAATTTTACTTTTTTCTTGCGATTTACTTTTGAATATCAGACTATTTATTTTTCTGTTGGTTACTTTTACTATTGTTAGACTCTTGCATTAGGATTGTGTGATGAGGGATCTGCGGAAACCGTCTTTGGCTCAGTTATGCCCAATTTAGGGAAAGTTCCCGAAATAGGACTAAAACAGTTTAAAAATTCCAAAATAGGACTGCCAAGTTTTTTATTCCCAAAATAGGAGTAATTACTGTCATTTTTGGAAAATACTGCCATGTTGGAAGTCTGGTATTGCCAAAACATGACAGTAATTAGTCCTATTTTGAGAATAAAAACATGACAGTCCTATTTTGGAATTTTCAAACTTTTTTAGTCCTATTTCGGGTAATATCTCCCCAATTTAGGATCAGCGAGTTATATTTCTTTGTCAAAGGTGATTAACTCTGAGTCTGGTTCAAGGGCTGATGGTTACATGTGGTTCTTTTGTTGTTTTAACCCCTATCTGAATGTTGTGATATCAATCTAAGCCTCTTTCTTCCAAAAATAGCATAAGTGGTTATCTATAGTAACTTCAGTCAATTCAACTATAGAAGTAACATCAATCTTATTAATTTTGATTATTACAAAACTCAATACGCGAAATCAAAATTGGTTATAAGCCGAAAAACAGGTTTATCACGCACTAAGCTTTTCATTTCTGTTTTAAAAAATAAGCACTCTTAAATACTCCAACAAATTCGTGATCAAATAAAAGATTTCAATTATCACTAATTACCTCATTATATTATATAATCATCCCAAAATTACTTATAGTTGAGTTATCTTATTTAACTACTATAAAATTATTTAAAAGTAATTGTGTCAATTGTGAACGAGAAATTTAAGCCTCGACAGAAGTGGTACCTTTACAAAATCTCAAATGAAATAAAGTAGCAAATTTGTAGAACATGCCTTTTTTATTTAAGGGTGTTAGCTTGTGCTTCTCAAAATAGAATTTGAAGAATGCATGATTTGTGATATACGGTGTAATATAAACCAACATTACTTTGATCCTCATTTAAAAGAACAATCTAAAATTTTGTATTAAATTCATAATAAAGCAAAAGTGAAAAATGCAATGGTTGCTATTATTGTATATACTCGCCATTTTAACTTTTGTCTTTTAGACAGCTCAATTAAAAATTCTCATTTTAAATTTACAAAATAATTAGCACTATTAAACGATAATGTAGTTATCAAATACTACATAAAACACTGAAAACATCATAGTTATCATCATCTTATAATATAATAGATACATCAAAATTACTTTTCAAATTATACTCAAACAACTTTATTTAACTAGTATCTAAATAATTGTGACATTTTAAATGAGAAGTTTAAGCCAGAGTAGATCATAATGAACGGCTGCATCATTGTTTATTGCCTCTTCTCAAAAAGAATTCTCATTTTATTTATGATGCATAACTCGAGTTAAGTGTTGTCACTCTTATAGTCTCATATGTACAATTTTTTACCCTCATAATAACTTTAATCATATATTTTTATGTATAAATTTTATTTTAATAATACTTTAGGAAAAATCTCATATTCTATTGATAAATAAAATATGAAATGCACAAACTATTTAAACTACTTTTTACCATGAAATAATCACGACATATAGAACTATTCCAAAAAAATATTTACTGACCATATTTCAAAAATTTATTTCAAAAAACTCTATTTAATATAGTGATTATAGTAGTAACTCTAATCATAATAACTTATGAATGAGCATGACACTTTATGCATTTTTTTTATCATCGAACATGCATTCATTCATAAAAAGCACTCAGAAAGGGGTTGAAATAACAAAAAGACCACAATAACTATCTGCCCGTGGACGAGACTCTGAGTTAATCACCTTTGACAAAGCAATATAACTCGTTAATCCTAAATTGGGCATATTCAAAACCACGACGATTACCGCAGGCCTCTCATCCCCCAATCCAAGTACAAAAGTCTTACAACATAAAATAAATAAGCAGCAAACACAATCGAAATAAAATAAAAACAAAACACAATCGACTCAGCAGAAATAGAAATACCCGTCCAAACCCTGGTCGCATAATTCCTCCAAGGCGCCGAGGCGGCGGTTCTGGAGGTGGGCGGATCAACATCCCTTCGTCTTCTTTCACACATGAGCCACCAATGAACCCCTGAAATTTGATTTTCCAGTCCGACAACACGAAGTCGACCACCAGAAACTCCATGCTATCACCAATAGTCATCTGTTTCGTCAAAGCTCATTCCCAAACTGTCAAAGAATAACAGCTCGACTTAGTCTTCAACATTCTGCAGCACCCCATCTTCCCCTTGCTAAACTTGTCCCCTGCCAAAATCAAAAGCCTCAAACCCTCCTGAAAGCTTCCTCGCTTGTTCGATGCTCTTGTAAAGCAGAAAAACCAAAAGCTTCGTCCAGACAGAATCCAGATTCACCACAATTGCAAGTCCGGTAGAAAACAAAAACGAACCTAACAAAACCCCGCGATGACAACAAAACTTAATACCCTGATAGGCCGCCGCCGGAAAAAAACTCTAGGACGTGCCTAGGAGACGACCGTGAGTAGGCCTGTCAATGGGTCGGGTCCGGGCTGGAATGTAGTGTTCCAGACCCGGACCCGCTAAGTAAATAAGGGACCCGGACCTGGACCCGTTTACCCGTCGGGTCTGCAATTTTGGACCCGGACCCGGACCCAACGGGTCTCGGGTCTGGGTCGGGTAGACCCGCCATTTTTTTTGGAAGATTAGACCCACCAAATATAAAACAGAACGTGTATATGAATCATGAATGTAATGCAATTCCACAAACTAGCTACATCTAGATCTCAATCATCCTTAATACGGAGTAATAAGTAAAACACATCTTTATTTTTTTTAAAAAAAAATTGATGTTCACGTAAGAAACCAGTACTTTCATCCAAACGTATTGAATGTCTTTGATAGTGAAATAAACAAAACTAAAATAGAATATCCCAGTTTGTTTTAATATGTATTAATTGGATACTAGTTTTAGGTATGTATTACTATATTAGTATATGAAATACTTCGTATATATTAATAAAAAATTAAAAACGGGTCCGGGTCCTTAACGGGTCGGAATCATATGTACCATACCCGACCCATTTATTAAAATATTAACGGGTCTGGGTTCGGGTCCGGGTAAACGGAATAAAACATAGACTCATACCCATTAAAAATAACCGAGTTCGGGTCGGGTCCGGGTCTAGACCCGACCCATTGACAGGCCTAACCGTGAGGATGGACGAGAAACGTTTTTACTAGTTCAACATGTTCGACTTTATGCATAGTAACTTAAAAATTCAGGGATGCTATTCCATACATGTATAATAATAATACCAAACGTGTGTTGATTGTCCTAGTTTTAAAACATTTTGTTTGAAAAAGAGTGCAAAACTGCAAACAAATAGATACCATTATACCAACACTCCATTATACCACGAGAACTGTGCTTGTTAAAAATATAATATAAAAAGGCACACAATAATGGAAAGAATACTTTTTTTTTGAATGAATAATGGAAAGAATACTTGTTAAGTTGTTAAACAAAAAACACAGCTAGCGAGATGGGCCTTTTCCCTTAAATTCATAAACAAAATTGAAAAAACGTGCACCCGGACTCCCGGAGGGTGATCTAGACTCTAGAGTCTAGACAAACTTGTCCAGCAAGAGGTATTTTGAGTGCGTATAGACAAAAGTTGAGTGCGCATATAATGTTATGTTACAAAGAAAACTAATTAGAATGTTATGTTACAAAGAAAACTACAAAACATCAAAGCAGAGTAAAACTAAACGTTGCCAAGGTTTTCTCTCAAGAAATTTTGGACCAAGCAAACAGGATTAAATAATTAATTAAGGACTTCTAATACAAGTTGGGCTCATATGGGCCGGACAAAGAACCAAAGCCCAGTCCTTAAACAAGTAACTTAAGCCCACACAGGTCAACATTCTTCTCTAAAATCTGCCAATATGGAAGTGTAAAATGCAAAATTACAATGAACTGCGTAATCTATCTTTGTATCTTACAGTTCGAGTAACTAACTCCTCAACTTCTTATTTGCTATCTACAGACAAAGCCGTTCCACAGCTAGGGCAATCCCAAAATGGGATTCTGATTACTCCCTCACTCCATGTTTGCCCAAGTCTTGGTCTTCAGTCTTCACTGCTTTGCCTGCAGGAAGAGACAAGTACATGGGAAAAACAGCCAAACATCACCATAATCCCAACTATGATTAAAAGCATTCTTCTTCCATTAGACAAGTGGAAGCAGGGTTAAACGAGAGTGTGCCTATATTAGTATAGTGAGAAGATGATAAAAAAGTTACCTTTACCAACGCAGTGACTTTGTTTGTAGTTCTGTGGTGAATGTTATTACCATGGTTATATTCAATTATATACTACAATGACCAAGTGGTGTTTATCATAGTGACTGTAGTGACCATGTAGTTATATTTTTGCCCATGAATGCTGTTTTAGGATGTTTTTAATTGGACTATAATCTATCCCAGACCAGACCAAGCCAGACTTGGATAGTTATAAAAATACAAAGAAACCAGACCAGACCAGCAAATTACAGTCCAAGTAAAAACATCCTTAGTTATATTACAGGAAAAAACTAATATAGTTATTATAGTGGTGCTTTAGTAGATGGGTAAGACTGCGTACATCCGAGCCCCCTTACCCCACTGAAGGTGGGAGCTTTTGCAGCACTGGGGTAATGACGCGGATGAGTTATTATAGTGGTCAAGAGTTAGCGGACTTCACGCTGATTTAAGCTTTGAACTTTAAAGCAGTTCTTTTTAATATAGAAAACTAGGATAGTTTTCAGAGTGATCAAACAAGGGAAGCCTAGTATTTAACCACCAAAAGAAAAGAAGATAAAAAGATTTTTACCTGTGAATACAAGAAAGTCCCAAAGACAGCAATAGCTGCTCCGAGAGCATTGACAGGCTGGACCGGTGTCCGGAAGATAATGATGGATGACACGATAACAGAAATTCGCTTCATGGTGTTTCCGATACTGAAAGTCAAAGGAGATATCTCATCCAGAGACATGTATGACACTTGATTGTAGAGATGATAAAACACACTCTGGGCCAACATCCACCTGTTGCACGCAAATAGTAACCCCACTAAAAATCAATTACCAGAACAAACCAATAATATCGACATGTTTCAAACTACAACTAAGTTTGTCATATAACATTAGTAAATCGCTCCAGAAATATAATAACTTACGAATATACATCACATAGTAAACATATGAAAAACAAAACACGATTCAACAAACTGGTGTCATTTATTTCTATCAGAACCATTTCAACAACACTGATAGTTAAATGTATACTTTAAATGTCATTTAGTTTCCATATTATCTATAATAAATTGGTTATATAAGTGCCTTCAGTAGCCCGCTTAGTTTTCAGCAATTTGATTTGTTGTTTCAGGGTGATCCTATTTATGTCTATCTGCTGTATGCAGCATGCTTTGGTAGTAATCGCCCTTGTTATCAGAATTCTAACATAAGGAGTTTCCCAAAAAAACTGACACGCAAACAAAGCAGTAGATATTTATCTTCAAGATGCCTCATCTTCCCCATAATACAGGACACGGGTCATCCTATAGCTTATGTTCATTGCACGTGTGCTTAAGTGTGTTTTAATCCAAACTTTGGAGCCAGTTAATAGAGTTAAGGCCAAGTGAAACTGATCATTCACACTCTCAATATAGTAGCTTTCAATAAATAAAACTTATGTACTTGATAAATTTAAATGACGTGAAAAGGGAAGAGTCGTGTCGGTTTTGTTCTCAAACTGAGACGGAGAACGACTAAAAAGAGAACAAAAAAACGGAAGGACCAAACCAAAAAAAAAAATCAAAACAAAACACTTTGCAGAACTAAAAACATATTTATGCCCTGAAAGTTTTGTTTTCAGAAATAAAAAACATATTTATGCCCTGAAAGTTTTATGAAAATAGCAACTAAAACATTTTCTAGCCAGAGCATCTTCAATTAACATTTATTAACACCATACCACAAACTGTATAAAGATGCCATCTAAAATTCACATCATACGACATACTGCATAAAGATAGCATCTGATTACCATATGATATTCGGTCCGATTTGGGAAAAAGCTTTTTCAAACCCAACTGCCCACATCTGTTTTCCCTCCACGGCAAGTGCAAATGGGGTGAGAATTACAAGAGATAGGATAGACAAGCAAGCATAGTAGTTCATTCCACTAACAGCCTTCCCCTTCATGCCTCTCTTGGAAAATATGTTTCGGAAAACGAAGGCCAAGTTCGAAATCATGGCACCCATAAAGCCTGGGATTAGCAGCAATCAGCAGCCAAATAGAAAATACATCATAAAAAAATAAAATATGTTAATATTTATTTCAAAATATCATGAACGCGTTGAAGATTATTGAAATTTCGACTTTCAAGTACTATTGGCTAGTATTTGAGAAGTACAAAATCTAAGAAAATGCCAAACCCCCTTTAAATCACCTTGTTAAGCAAATATCATGAAAGAATAGTGAAGCCATCAGATCGAACTCCTTCAATTGAATACTGATCTTTTTAATTGATTTCTTCCGGACATGGCAATCCTTATTGCTCATAGAAACTACATATAGAACTACATTTTCCTTGACAGTGTAAATGCATTTCAGATGCAAAGAGTATAGGGGGTGGAGTTTGCACCCATTCTTCAATTCATGTTTGAGTTTGCACCTATTTTCAAAATCATTAATATGTGCATCCCAAATTTGAGAAATTGTACTTTATTTTTCTTCTGAATTAGAGTTTGGACCCCATTATTAACATCATTTTCTAACTTTGGGGTACAATTAATAATGATTCTGATAATGAGGTGTAAATTCAAATTTGGATGAATAAAGAACGGTGCAATCTCAAATCACCCCAAACTAACCCGTTTGGTATAGGGCAATGGTTTATCAAACAAATTCAAATGTAACAATGAAGAAAGTTCTAATACCAATCATGTTGAAGTTCAACTCAGTAAGAGCGGCAAGGGAGCATCCACCAATAATTGGAATCAGTGACAAGTAAACAGATGGCGGAAAGCTTTCTCCCAGGATGAACCTTGAAACCAGAACACTGAAAGCTGGTTCCCCACTTTTGATAATGTGAGTGAAGGAAACCGCCACCTTTGACATACTCACAGTAGCTGCCACATGCCCAATGGTGTGCGCAACTGCAACCTGCACATATGGCCAACATTAAACCATCAAGAAACAGTGTTTTTGTACGGAAAAATCCTAAGCTATAAATAAAAATTGCAGCATATAGCACTTTGAGATGAGAAATTGAAATTTACTGCTTCACCAACAACATCGACTTAACTACACAGAGAGCTAATTATCATTAACTTAAAACATATGAAATCAGACTTCTAGATTTCACAGGTGAACTTGATAGAAGTAATAGTCAAAGGTCTTGTGTATCATAGAGATCCAAATACCAAAGAGGCAAAAACTTGCAGGCTTGGAGGCTTAAGCGAGTCAAATTTTGTGTGTAAACTCTTATCTCTAATGCTCTTTTTGAGGCTTAAGCGGGTCAAATTGCTAGTTTGAATATAGTACTACTAGGACTAGTGCTAAAATTTTGTGTGTGAACTCTTATCTCTTGTGCTCTTTTTGAGGCTTAAGCGGGTCAAATTGCTAGTCTGAATGTAATAGAGTCTAGAAGATACATAAAAACGATCACAGAAACCAAGATCACATGGATATAACAAAAGACTTCATTTTGTTACCGGGAAGAGGGTCTTCCAGAAGTCCAGATCAGTATTAGGAGTTTCAACGATCCTCAAAGTCCAAGATATAAGCATAATAAGAGATCCAGCAGCAAGCGAGAGCGTGGAGGTCAACCAGGGAAAAGGGAATGCATTCAGAACCTTCTTGTTGTATATATTGAAGACCACATTCAAAGCCCACCAAGTAGCGAAGTAGATCCCGATCTTCACCTTCCTAGCAGCCTCAAGTTTGGCCGCCGAATCATTCACCGGCTGCTGTCCATCGGCCTCCTGGGCGTTGCACGCGACCAGACCACGATTCTCATGATCATCCCCTCGAGATCTCTGCTTTAAACTTCCAAAGGCCTCGACAGAAGAAACGTGGAGTGGCTTGGCTAACGAAACTATAAAGCTCCGGGAGTGCTTCACCGCCGGGAGAGGCGGAAGGAAACGTAAATTGGGAGCCAGTGACGGAGGCTTTGGACGGAGGAGATCAGGACGGAGGATTGCTTGTGCCCCAGATTGCTTCACAGTCGAAATCATAGTGCAAAGACTCGAACTTTCAGGCAACGATCAAGGCCTCCGGTTCCTCAAGTCAAAAACAAGTTTCAACGAGCATGTAGATGATCGCATCCCTTCCGAATCCGGACTCTATTTGATCCCGCAGACCTGTGCGTGGAAGTTCAGCATGAATTATTGAACATCAATCATGCCGGTTTTGTTGGATTCTCTTAAAATTATGTCCGTTTTTCTTTAGGGGTTTTTAGGTAAAGAATTTATGATTCCAGTTAATTGTCTTTTTTATGTACAAACCTCAAATACACAGCTTTTACTTTATCAATATTTGTGTCAGTCAAACTTGGCAAAGTTTTAAAGGACGGAGGAAGTATTACGGAGTATGTTCATTTGAAAACAATGTTATGACTCCAATTTCTTGCATTCCAGCATCACCAATAAAATACGTTCTGCATATTTTTTACATATCATTTTAGTAAAACATTAATTAAATTGTTATAAATAATGTTTTTCTTTTAAGTTTTTCCCTGAATACGTATGAAATAAAAAATACACATTTGGATGTAAAAATAAATAAATTTCATTAATTTTTTTTAATGTTTTTCGGTTTACAAAAAATGAACTTATATCAAGTAAAAATCAAATTTAGTTATTTGTGAAGACTCCATAAATCATAAATTAGTATTCTGTGTTTTTTTGCTCAAGATAACTTCAACAGTTAAATCTTAAGATTCTTTTCAATTTATATACTTCGAATTACATATTAGTGTCATATGAAAAATTATTTTGATATTTTTTGAAAAATTTAGAAAACAAATAAAGAAGTTTAAGAATTTAAAATTATTTGAGATTATAATGGCATCTGCATGATGTCATCATGACTCATCCAAACGGATGAAGAACGAGCAATGCACCGGGGCACCGGACCACTGCACTTTGCCTTTTCCCTCTACGCACAACAGCCCTTCTGCCCCAATCCTTTTTTGAATTTCTTTTCCTTTTTTCTTGTTGTTTACACCCTTCCAATTTACCCCCTTCATCCCCTTACCCATTTTTACTATCCTCTTTGACCCACCAATTTATAAAATTAGGAATCTAAAGATGTTATCTTTAACATTTTTGAATTCTATACATCATCACTCAAATTAGCCTTACACCCCGTTTGGTAACACGTGTATGCTTGACATAACTAGATAAAAAGATACTTTTTGAGTTTTTTTAGTACAGATTAATTGTTAGCTTTTCGTGAAGGAAAGCTACTTAAAAGAAAAGGGTGGTAGCCGTTTGATAAAAAATTGACTATTTAATTTAGTTCTGTTTAGTACATAAACTGCTTTGATTAATTAATGTTAAAAGCTACATAGTTTTTCCAAATGATATTCAGTGTCGCTTCTCAAAAAGATCTTTTATTTTGATAAAAGTTCTTAAATATTGTTCCCCCAAACATACACGAAGCTATCAATAAGGTTAGGGGGGGCCATGGCCCCTTCCAAGTTTTTTACTCCCTCCGTCCCTGAAAATACTTCCAACTTTCCCTTTTCATCCGTCCCAAAAAGAACTTCACTTTCCCTTTTTGGCAAAGAATTTGTGGTTCACAGCATTTCTCTCTCCTCTACAAACTCTCCACCACACAATTTCTACTTTCTTAATCTGCATGCCACTTTATTTTGGAAGTAAATTCAGGGACAGAGGTAGTATTTTTTAATAGTATTATTAGTATGATCTAAGTATTTCATATGTCCTTTTTTAACTTTTACGAGTAGTATTTATCTGCTTATTCCTTTGTCCTTTTTAATCTTTTAGTTAATGGAATTTATCTTCCAGTAACTTACTTATTCTTACTTGTGAAGGGTTTTCAAGTTTTCCTTTTCTTTTATAATTTTTTAGGACTTGATAATTTAGTTATGTATGGATAGTTATATGTTAATATACATGCAATTTAAACTTTATAATAATATATATTATACGTAGTATTATATTAAACTGATACATAGTATTATATATGGTTGATAGAAATATCATATATAACTTTAAATTTATTACTTAAGTCATCTTTAATTAATGAAAAAATAAATCTATAAGGTTTTGTTTTGAGCTCAAATTATATTATGGAAAAAATAACGTGGATCTATAAATTATATATGTTGGAATTTTTTTGGATGAGATCTAATAAATTGATTGACTTTGGCATAGGATAAAATTCATCTCATGTAACTATCAGTCCGTATACCGTGCAACCGGAGCATGGTGAGCACCATGCTCCACACCCCAAAACGACGTAGTTTTGATCAATTTTAAATAATAATAAAAATTCGCGTGAACAGTACACGCGTGAACAGTGCACGCGTGTACAGTGTTTTTTTTATTTTCATCCCAGTAGCATGGATGATGTAATTCGCGTGTAAAGATATGTAACTCGAGTTCTTGATCAATGTAACTCAAGCCCAAATGAGATGTAACTTGTCAAATACATAGTACACGAAATAAAACATTGATTTCAATGTAAACAATAAAAAAGAGAGTCTAATTATTATAAATGTAATTCGTGTTGAAGACAAATGTAAATTGTTGAGGTAAGTCCAAATGTAATTTGCTTATAAAAAGATGTAACTCATGCACATGAATATGTAACTCGTTCATAAAAAGATGTAACTCCATGCAACTTAAGATGTAAATTTGTATTAAAAAGTGTAACTCCATTTTATACGTAAAAACCAATTAACCTCATCGATCAAAGCATGTTAGATTAATCTGAACGGAGAAGTTTATACGAAGTATTAATCTGAATTGATTCATAACAATCTATTACATCAAAGCAATAGAACTTGCTTCAATTTTCAAAACGAAAAGCAGCAAGAGAGAAAGCAAGGAAGAAAAGTTAGTGGAAAAAAGCTAGTGAAAGCATGGGAAGAATAAAATTTTGGGAAACGATTTTAATTGCATAAGAACGACACCGTATTAGAACCGGGCATACCATGCACATGGTATGCCGGTTGCACGGTATAAATTGTGTGTAACTATGTGTAAATTACTCGTGTATTAGAGAGTAATATATATAATTTCCTTTCTTGAAGTATATGCAAACAGTATTAAGCATTTACGTAGTACTAGTATAACATGCATTATTTAATTTCCTTTTTATTGCTGATGCAAAACGAAACACAAAGTATCGTTTTCTGCCTTTCTGGCATTTATTTTTCTTTCTTAAGCATCACTGAACATATCGTAAAAGAAAATTGGAAATATATATAATCATCTCACTATAATCAATCTTAAGATATTGACATATAGATTTTTTTCTTATGTCGTCTTACAAATTCTCGAAGTATTCAAATCAGTCAACTATTTTACTACATACATTACATTTCTATATTTATAGGATAATACGATCATGTTTTAAACAGACCAGACCAGACTTAAACAGACCAGACCAGACCAGACCAGACTTAAACAGACCAGACCAGACTTCCGTAGTTATAAAATACACAGTCAGAGACCAGACGTTTACCAGACCAGACCAGTTCAGACCAAACTAGACCTGACCAGACTTAAACAGACCAGACCAGACTTAAACAGACCAGACGAGACCAGACCAGCAAATTTCAGTCCAAAAGAAAACATCCGTAGTACATTTTATTGCTTGCCTTCATTCTTGACCCCCCCCGCCCCCCGCCCCCCGCCCCCGCCTATCGTCAAATCCTGGCTCCGTCCCTGTAACTAGACCCTTTAATGACTTTTCAAATAATACAAAAACTAGAAGATGGAGACTGATGCCTATCAAACATGTTCCACGTTTTTCGGCTTATCGGGCTTATCAGTCAACTTTTCACCAAACACACAACTTTTGATTTCATGTGTTGAATTGTCTAATAGTAAGAAAAAGTAAGGTTGAAGTTACTTTTCGGGCTGTAATGACTGAAATTACCGTAGAAAATCATTTTAGCTGTTTTTCATGTAATTTTTTATTTTTTCTTTATTTTTTTTTGATAAAATATACAGTATTTTAAATATATATTTTTTATAAATCAACAGAATCAGCCAATTCAATCACTTTATCCATAATTTCATAAATTTTGGCAGAATCAGCCAATACTGCCAATTTGGTTGTTACCAAACGGGCTCTAAATCATTAAGTTGAATTATTAAGTTTCTTTTTTCAATTTTTCTCTGAATAAGTATAAAATTAAAATGTCACTTCTTGATGTAAGAAAATTAAACTTTGGAAAAATTAAATTTCAGACCAAAACAATTGATTAAATATAAATAAAAAAATTATTTTAATTTGGGTCGTTGAAAAAAAATGTTTAAGCAGTACCAAAATGATCTCGATCGTCAAATTTATTTTATACTCCCTCCGTCCCGTATTTAAGTTACCACTTTCCTTTTTCGGATGTCTCAAACAAGCTCCTACTTCCTTATTTGGCAAATAAATCTACACCAGAACAATGCAAAATAGTGTCAAAACAGTGTAAAAGAGTGTCAAAACAATGTACTCTACTGTAAAATTTACCCTTCAGTAATTTTATTTTCTTAATCTGTGTGAATAAGTCAAACCAGAAACTTAATTAAGAAATGGAGGCAATATAATTTTTTATTTATTTAAACGTGACACGAATTAAAGCCATGCACAGATTTCACTTGATTACTCCTCTCAAGTCATTCGCATATTTCACTCACTTTTTGTTTTTTTTTCTTTTTAAAGCCGTCCATCCATGGCATATTGGCATATATCACATTATCATTGTACAATTTCACATGTAAATACATATTTTTTTCTATGTAAACGTGGTATTCTGATGTAATAATACATGTTTTATAGAAAGTTATAAATATTTAAGTCGTGCATTTCAATATAAATTCATGCGTTCAGATCATATGAACAAAACAACTTCTAAATTACAACAAAATATGCAATTCAATATATATAATGACAAATGAAGGAGTCAATCCATTCATAGTTTCATACACACAAGAAAGTTGTGGCTCTTTCAATCAGAAAAGTCAACGATTATAACTAGCGACATAAATTCACAAATCATATACTCCTATAGAAGATCTAAACGCCACTCCCCTCGGCGTTTTCTCTTTCAACTAATCACAGTCATTTTGACTGATTAATAATTTTCCTAAAAATGTGTATGTATGCGGTGCCCACGTAGGATAAACTAAATCATTTCAACTTGTCCATTTAATCAATAAACAAATACTACTTTGTATGAAGTGCGCAGGACCTAAG